CTCTTTTTATTTTTTTAATTTAAAAAATCACTGATATAATATCTTTTATTTTTAATTAAAATAAAATTTATCAATAATCTTTTTTAAATGTAAGTATTTTTTGGTATATTTGTTTTATTTTATAAAATGTAAGTACTTTTTTGGTTCAAAAATGTTTAGGAACTTTATCGCTCAAAATATGAATGTTCAATGGCTTTTTTTCATTCTTTTTCCGTTATTTTACTACGTTAATTAGTTTTATAGGTCATAAGAATGTATATAACATGTTTTAGAAAGTCTAAGAAGTTGTTTAACAAGTTTTGAAACGTTCAATGACTTATTTGTTCCAAAAAATTGTCCAAAGACTTAATCATTCCAAACACTAAAGTCCATTGGGTTTTTTTTTAATTTTCCCTTAGTTTTATAGGTCATAAGAATGTATATAATAGGTTTTAAAAAGTCCAAGAAGTTGTTTAACAGGTTTTGGAATGTTCAAGGATTTATTTGTTCCAAAAAGTGTCCAAGAACTTAATCATTCCAAATACTAAAATTCATTGGGTTTTTTCAGACTTTTCCCTTTTATAATATGGTATAAATATAGATAACATTAATTTTAGGTTTTAAAAAAAGGCTTTTTTGCAAGAGAAAAAAAACCCGGATACGATGGTTAAAAAAAGTCAAAAAAAAAAAACTCCAAATTCTTGGATAAAATTACCTCCTTTTTGCTTGAGGCATTGTAACATCATCACTGGCTTCTTTACCGTCGCTTGATCCTGACCGTTGATCACCCTTCATGCTCATTGCATCAACTCTTGAATGGTTAAAATTACCAGTCTGACCTTTGAATGATTCAGGCTCGCCGGAAGTTCCAACACCAGCATACTCCGATCGCGGTGGTTGGTGGTTGTGCTGGCCGTTATAGATGATCTCCGTCACTAAACCATCTAGATTCCGTTCAACCTTCTTCTTCACCCGACAATTTTGATTTGTGCATTTATAATAGCTTCTTGGGTATTCACTGCCCTTCACTTGCTTCTGCCCGTATTTCCTCCAGTTGTACCCATCTTCCGATGGCTTATCAGCAGCTACCGACGGAGGTTGGGAGTGGGAGTGGGAGTGGCCACCGGAACTGGAAAACTCCGGTGACTGCTTTGTGGTGGTATGGTCTGGCATAGGCGGTGGAAGACGGTGGCGTGTGGTGGTTGCTTTAGGTTGCAGTTGTGCAGCCTGTGTTGTGACCTGAGCCAATGCAATAAAGTGCAATTAAGTTCCGATATTCATCTAAACCGTTAAACTGCACAAACTATTTACAACATATCACAAAACGCTCTTTAGAATTTCCGCGATGCAGTTTACAGTTTGCATCTTTATCAAAAATCACCACGCGGTGCGGTTTAAGCTTTTAAGTTATCAAACCGCACCGACAATCACGTCATGAATCTAGGGCTTCTGCTCTAGTTTACTCTCGAGTTTCAAAAAAATTCAATTTTTAGATACAATCGACGCCTTAATCAAGATTTCAAACTTCAATTTTCATCTAACTTTAATTGAAATTGTTTTAATTTTTTGGACTACGGTCACATTATCGTTGATTTTATAATGCCTAAATTTTAATCTTATAACTATTAGATCATAGGCATGAATGAAATGTGATAGGTACTAACTGCATAAACCGCACAACATTTTATAGTGCGATTTTTTACAGTTTAAGGTGCATGCAGTGCGGTTTGTGGTTTGGAAGAATGCTTAAACCGCATATGAGCTGCGGTTTGCAGTTTGACCCTAAAGCGCACGACGAACACCCCCATTTAGTATAACAAAAGCAGCAAAAGTTTAATTTCATCACCATTTCGATAGATAACTTGTTACGTTGATTTTGTAACATATGATAACGTGCCTTCCGTCTACAAAATATTAACAAAAAATGGACGATAAATTTGACATCTACGTTATTAGATGTTACAAAACCACGACCCTTTTTTTTTTTTTTTTTTTATAGCTTAGGGGGTGTTTGGGATTGCTTATTTGAAATAACTTATGTTTTTCTACAAAATAATTTATCAACTTATTATAAGTCAGAAAGGTTTAACTTTTTCAAAAACTCAATATTACCGATTTGGCATAGGTATAAGTTGTTTATCCAAACACTTCAAAGTCCTTATTACCGGTACCACACCGGAATAAGTAAATAAGTTATTTTTTATAGGAAAATTTGAAAATTTATTACGATAAATAGAACTACGAGTTAAGAGGCTTTAAACCATCGGAATATTTGAGTACCTGAGCCGGAAGAAAAAATCCCGGTGAATCGAGCAAGGTGGCCGGACTTAATCCCGGAGGAATAGTAAACGTAGATGCTTGCGTAACTACCAAACCAGACGCTCGTCCGGCGTTACTAAACTGAAAGTCAACGGCCGCACCACCGCCCGAAGCATCAGCACCGGCATCCGAATCACGAGAAAGAATACGGCCAGGAATCTGCGCAGGCGATGACATAGTTCCGGCCAAAAGCTGAGAGAACGAACGACAATCCGATTCAACATCGTTGTTCGAGAAGAAGTTCGAGATTAAAGTCATCGGTCCCGGACTCTCCCCCGGCCTGCCGCCTCCGCCGGTGAACAAGTTCTCGACCGTCGAACTTGACGGTATAGAGATCGTTGGCCGTAAATACGGTGCCGACGATGATATCAATCTTCTCTTCTCGTCCATTTCCAAAAGAAATCAACTTTTTAACTAGTTAAATTCGTGTAAAATTTCCGGTGAAAGTACAAGCGGCGACTGAATCCTCCGGCAAGCGTTTGGCGATTGTTTTATCGTCTCTTTTGAGATTATCCCAAAAGTCAACACAAGTTATTGGGAGTGGATACCGGAAAGTGCTTATTGAAACCTTTTCCATTTTTTGAAATATTTCACAATTTTCTCTTATTGTTTCATTCAATATTTCATTTCAGTCCCTATAATTTAATAAATTTCACTTAGATCCTCGACATTTTTGATTAATATCAATTAGGTCCTTAGGCTTTGCTTTACCAACATCTTTTTTTCTTTAAATAGGTAAACAACGAATAAAAAACGTTTTTCAACTATTTAAATTTCTATATATATACTATATTATAAAATATTTGATAAAAAATCTTAAAAACCATTTTTTATGCATATTACTTAAAATTCAAGATTACAAGTAAAGTATGCATAAGTACAACTTATTAAAGTTTAATGTTTGAATTCGTGTAACTAACTGCGGATAAACATAATCAAATAGATGATAAACATCTCATTTTAAAATATAAAAAATCTAAAATACAATTAGGATAATTATCGAGTTCTATCAAAATAATTAATTATTATCTTCATAAAAAAATTATATTATTAAACTAAATATAAATTAATTCGTTATTGAACTAAATTAAATTATAATAAAAAAATTGAATTAAAAAATTACATAAAAAATATGAATTTTAAATAGTTAAATTGATACTAATATTGATATATTTTTGTCAAATTTTTATGATATCTTCAAATTTATATTTTATTCAAAAATAAAAACATTATCACTTTTTCAAAATCACATAAGACCATACTATAACACCGACTGAGATAATGAATAAAATGAAATATTAAAATCAAAATGTATCTCGCTGCATTGCGCGAATACCCTTCTAGTTTTTCAATAAGCAATGTTTACTGATCATAAAGTTAAATTTTCAATAATTTTATAATTCAGAAAAATAAGAAATAAGATTTTTTATATTTTTATTTTTAAATATATCATGTCAAGCATTACCAAAAATAAAAGAGGGTGTGTGAATCCGTTTATGGTATGTAAATATTATACACTTAAATAAAAAACACATGAAAGTACAATTTTTTTACACACATCATTGTTGTTATTTTGCTATAGTAGCATGTCTAAGAATACGATTGATTCAATATCGATGAATCTCGATAATAGGATTGAGGGTTGGAACAATAATTTTGCGTTCAGTTCTCCATCTTAACGACACAAAAACGGCTTGATCAGATTCCTGTCTTGCAAAATAGGATATAAACAAAAGTGGAACAAGTATGTCTCGGTGTTCGGTGTTATGCATGAAAAAACGATTTTTGGTGTGTGTATGGATTAAGCTAGTGGAAAAGCTATAAATGTTTAAGAAGACAGTGACAAGCATGTGAGTTTGTGAGGATTAGATCTGTAAACGTTAGATGCATCTCATCGGACCAAGTTGAAAGGATAACTGATAATCCATATTGTACGCGGATAAGTGAGATCTCAATAAATGGTGTTGTATTTACATTATTATTGTTGTTGAAAACTGCGAACATGTTTTCAACTTCTAGAACAATATATCAAATGCTTCAAGAAGCGATGTTACGAGTCTACGTCTGTTGCACGAGATATATTTCAATTTTAATGTTCCATTTTACTATCTATCTATGTCGATATAATACGATTTTTAGTCGTTTTGAGAAAGCAATCATGTTTTTTTTAATAAAATATAATTTAAACGTATCATAAAAATTTGGAAAAAAATATATATCAATACTAATATCAAATCTACTGTTTAAAGTTAAGGTTTTTTGTGTAATTTTTTTAATTCAATATTTTATTTATATTTAATAACAAAGTATTTTATTTATCGTTTTATAATACAATTTTTATAAAGATAAAAATAATTTTTTTTGTTTTCACTTATGATTATCCTAATTGTATTTTAAATTTTTTATATTCAAAACGAGATGTCTATCCCGTATTTGATTATTTTTATTTATAATTAGTTACACAGATTTTAAAAATGAAAATTTAATAAGTTGTACTTATCCACAATTTACTTATGATCTTGAAGTTTAAGCAATGTGAATCAATAAACAGTATTTTATGCATAAAAACTATTTTTAAGAGTTTTTTTTTTAATGTTCTATAATATGGTATAGAATATAGATATACTGACCACAAAGGTGATGCCTGATTGGTTTGAGCTTAACTCTGTCAAAAGTACCAGGAGGTCTCAGATTCAAATCCAAGGAGAAATAAAAATCTTTTTGTGGCCAAAGAGGTTCAAATGCGGTGACTCTGGATGGTCGTCCTGGGATTAGTCGGCTTGCATAGCGGATTGGATATCTAGGTTAATAAAAAAAATATAGATATAGATTAATGGGTTATTGGGTTGTATGACTTGTAAGTTGTAATTGTATCACGTAAGGCAAAATTCAGGCCGAAGGCCCAGTCACGAACCGTAATTAATCTAAGCCCAATTTATTGGCAATCAAGTGGGCCTCAGATCTGGCTCACCCAAATTCCAATTAACAGATACAGTTGAAAACCCTAGTAGTAGTTTCATTGCGACGGCCATGAACATATCTCTCTAGGCAAGCACAATCTGTGAATATGGGAGAAGAAACAACCGATACGAAGAGAGAATTTCCTATTTTCAGAGACATAAGGCGTTATACTTGCGAGTACTGTGGTATCGTTCGTTCAAAGAAGACTATAATCAACGCTCACATTCAATCTCATCATCAGGTTTGTATTTATCTACTCGATGTTCTTTTTGCTGTAATTTTGTAAGGCATTTGTTGAGCTTCATGTGAGATGGAGGTTATTGTTTGGAGTAATCAAATATGTGAAAATTGTATTGGTTTTAATGAGACTGGTTAGGTATGTGGTTGCTGGCGATTCAATCGAAGGGAGATGTTTATAGATTTTGTTTTATGCGAGGGTATACCGTGTAGTTTTTTTGCTAACCAGGAGGAAATTTATCGAGTTTCGAGCTAGTTTTTTGATTTAACCACTGTAATGGATGCTACTAGTGGTTGTTATTGGATTACAAGGATTTAATTGGAACATTTTTGATCATTTAGGATGAAATAGAGGAGAAAGAAGGCGATAGGGAAGAGGATACAGAAGGGGGAAAGTTGAATGTTTGCGAGGAATGCGGTGTTTCTTTTCGAAAACCTGCACACTTGAGGCAGCATATGCAAAGCCATTTGCTCGAGGTATTACTGAACACTGATATTCTGTTCTTAATTCAATAATAGTGGTAATGAACAAATTGCTGATTCAGTAAGTATTCCAAATATGGTCTACCAATTTGATTGCATGATATTGGCTGCCAAAGCTTATGCTGTCTACCAACCGAACAGCCCCTAAAGGCTAAAACCATCTTCAATCGTTTGCAGCATTTCTTGCTCCGACATGGTCTAAAATTTGGTGTAAACAATCATTTGTCTCCATCCCTGATCTCGCCACAGCATTTTAACCCCAAAATAGAATATTTTAAGTTTATTCCTTATTTGTAACTTATATAGATTTTCTAACTATGTTAAATTCGAAACTTAGCTGCTTTTCTTTGTGCTTTTTAGTCATTAATCTTTCATAGCTTCAATGCTTCTGCAGGGTGTAAAGTTACATTGACTTTTAAAATGTTGTGAATAAATGGATGTTGTTGCGTGATGCATTGGATCCCACACAGAGAACTCCAAAATGTGAGACCTTGATTGGATTAGTATCAGGTAGGGTGACCTCCTGAGAAGCTCCATCAAGTGATCCTCAATCACGCTTAAGTATAAGGTTCAAAGATTCTTTCATCTATGTAATACCGAAATGGTGTAATCATCACATAAATAACGTTCTCATCATTAAGCCTTTTATCTTGCTGCAGAGGCCTTTTACTTGTCCAATAGACGACTGCAATTCCAGTTACCGTAGGAAAGATCACTTAACTCGCCATCTTCTTCAACACGATGGTAAACTTTTTAATTGTCCTATTGAAAACTGCAAAAGCAAGTTTTCAATTCAAGGTAACATGACTAGACACGTGAGAGAAATCCATGACGACTTGGGGTCTACTGCTGATGACATGAACGAACAGAAGCAGTATGCTTGTTTGGAACCGGGATGTGGGAAAGTTTTTAAGTATGCATCAAAGTTACAAAAACACGAAGAATCTCATGGTAAGTGGGTGGTGTTAGTTTGCTGAGTTTATTGATACTTCTTGCCGATTGTTTATTATTCATTCTGATGAAATTCTCTGTGGATTGATTAATGCAGTTAGGTTAGAAACAGTGGAAGCATTCTGTGCTGAACCGGGCTGTATGAAATATTTCGCCAACGAGCAATGTCTAAAGACTCACCTCCAGTTTTGCCATCAGCACATCAGCTGTGAGATATGTGGGAGCAAACAACTGAAGAAGAATATTAAGCGTCACCTTCGCACTCACGACAAAGTGGTTTCAAAAGAGAGGATTAAATGCAGTTTCAATGGTTGCAACCTAACATTCTCAACGGTAAGAATAGTATACTTATTTCTTACCTCTAACCATCTTTTGTGCAACAAGTAGTCCATAGGGTCTGCTTTTGGTACACATGACAGAACAAAACTAGGGTTGCTGTATGCACCCCCATCTAAAATCTTTCGGAATTCTTTCACTTGCATGCCTCACTCATGCTCGTCCAGATTTGTCCAGTTCCGTATGTGCACCAAGCGCACTTTTGAAGACAACAAATTTGAGTTTTATCCTGTGTGAAAAATGCAGATTTCAAATCTCCGACAGCATGTGAAAGCTGCCCATTTTCAACAGAAGGAATTTGTGTGCAGCATTTCCGGGTGTGGAATGAGGTTTTCGTTCAAGCATGTGAGAGATAAGCACGAGAAATCCGGCCGCCATGTTTACACACTGGTAAAAGACGGACTCATATTCGATATATATATATATATATATATATATGAACTCTAGTCATCATCCATAAATATTCAAATCATAATAAATGAACTCTCATCATTTCATCCATAAATATCTCAATTAATTGGGTTGTATTGTTTGTACAAATGAACAAGGTTGCTTATATTTGTTGGTGTTTTTAGGGAGATTTTGTGGAAGCTGATGAGCAATTTCGATCAAGGCCAAGGGGTGGTAGGAAAAGGAAATTACCAACTGCAATTGAAAGCCTTATGAGGAAGAGAGTTGTTGCGCCTGCTGAATCTATACAAGACATCTCTTGGTCGGTAGATTAACGGCTCAGATTTTGATTGGTAACTGTAGATCTTGTAATTATTAAGTATGAATTGTCGTAGCATATGTTGTCATTTTTGTTTATATAGAAAAATGTTACTTCAATGTCTATTGATTTCACGTAGAATAAAAAGGACAATATATAAAATTGAATATTTGTTATATTAATATAATACTCATTATATTGAGATTATATGATGCGAGTCGACCTCTAATATCAATATACTTGACTTGAACTCGATAGTTATTTCTTAAGCTCGAACTTGACTCAATGGCTCACGAGTAGTTATAAACTAAACTCCATTCAAACTCGCTTGCAATTTTTTAAGCTCAAACTTATTTGAAGCTTGAAACAAGCTTGAATTGCAACTCAAATCAAACTTCAACTCAAACTTGAATCAAGTTCACGCATTGAAATTTATGAAATATTAGGGTATTTTAACTTGATTCCTATATTCTGTAACATACTTTTAATACTTTCATTTTGGTACCTAAGATGTAAAGTTTTAAACATTAAATTTCTGAGTAACCGGTTGAAGAATAATTTTAGATTAAAAAAAAGTCAATGTCAATAAACATTAAATTCCTGAGTAACCAGGTTCAAATCCAAGGATAAATAAAAATCTTCTTATGGCCACAGATGTTCAAATGTGATGACCCCGAGCTATCTGCAAAGCAGGTGGTCGCTCTGGAATTTGTCGGCTTGCATAGCGGGTTAGATATCCAAGTTAATAAAAAAAAAGTAGTGAATATTTTGACTTTTAGTTCTCTATTTTCGAAAACTAAAAATACCAGAAGGTCTCAGGTTCAAATTCAAGGAGAAATAAAAATATTCTTATGGCCACAGAGGTTCAAATGCGGTGACCCCGAGCTATCTGCAAAGTAGATGGTCGCTTTAGAATTTGTCGATTTGCATAGCGAGTTGGATATCCAAGTTAATAAAAAAAATTAGTGAAAATTTTGACTTTTAGTTCTCTATTTTCGAAAATATGTAAAGATGAGAGAACTATTTTTTATAAGGAGGGGCGAGGGTGGGGGGGGGGGGTAGTAATTACTTCTAAAGTGCAAGGGGTCAATATGAAATCAAACGAACTACAAACCAAAAAGGGAAATTTCACCTGGGAATTTTGTCGATTCAAGTTTCTCAACAAGAGAGCCACTCTCCGATCGGGCTCACCTTCATTTTTCATGGCTTCTCTGCATAATTACAACACCACCTTCGGAAATTCATAAACCTATCGACAGATTTAACTCAAACGATGCTTATCGATTGGAATTGATCAAATATTCTTATCGCTAGCAACTTAGGTAATGCTCGCCATCATTTTCCCTAATTTTACATTCTAATTGTTTGATTCGATTGGAGTCTTCATTTTGTTTAATCCACTTGCTTTTTGAGTGATTACTTGATAATATGTTGCGTCCATGCAATTTTTATGACATTAAGGGTATGTATAATTGATTTTTGTTGGGTTTTTTGCTCGATAAGCTGTGGAATTGACTTATGATTCGATTTGTGGGTAGCGAACTTTAGGTTCAGTTTATGCGTCTCAATAATAGACGCAATTTCAAGTTCCCCAACACAAATCAGGGCTAAAAAGGAAACTAATTATAGGGCTAAAAATGGTTCATAATTCGATATATAAAGTGGGTGTTTTAGGGTTTTTTGGGGAAATTGAAACTCTGTGTAATTAGATATATAATCGGTTCACTTGAAGTTTTTATTCAGTTTTTGGAGTTTGATGCTCTTATCAATCTTATTAAAGAACATATTTTGACTTTTCTGAGTCAATGTGGGTACTCTGCAACTTTGAAATTGGCAAGAGATGAATTAATTTTTTCAGAGGAAAAGTTGGAAAATTCGTTCGATTTTATAAGCTGTAGAACATGTTTCATAACATGTTTATAACAATTTTATAAAGTTGTTGGTTTTCCATTATGTCCTATATGGATAAAGCTGACTGTGTGGATTAATCTGTTTGTATAGATTGGGAGGGTTTTTTCATGGATGGAATGAGCGCTTTTTTTATTGGGAGGGACAATTTTGGGAGAAAAAACGTGGCTTTCTGTATAAAGCTCCTCCTAGAAGCTTACTGAATAAGCTACTTTCTATATCATTAAGCCACTACCAAACAGTCATGTATAGCTGACTGAGTAAGCTATGAGTCTCATTAAGCTGTTAACAAACAGACCTTTAGTCCTCCAAGTTTTAAGAATTGTAGGTTTAATTACCAAAAAGGCACAATGTACCAACCATTTGCTGATTTTAAGAACATGCTGTAAATTCATATTCGTTGTCCAATTAGCGATTTGGGTAGCTTAATTTCACTAGAAATTTGGTTTGATAGACTACATATAAGCACTGTAGCGGCCAAATGATTTTTGGTCAATGTCGAAATAAATATTTGTCTAATTGGGTAACTGTTACCCGTTTCGTCATATTGATGAATGACTAATTTTTCTTATTCTTAGATGATTAATTTTCCAGATGTGATTATATCTTCGACTTGTTTGTTTTCATGTCATACGAACCCTCAAGGTCATACATCCAAGATGGAGGAAGAGATGATTTCTCTGCGTAACATCATGCCCGTGGAGCTTGCAATCAAAAGGGAGCTAGAGTATCGTAAGAAGATGGATGTATCAAGAAACCAACGTCAAAATGACTTAAAACCCCTTGTACTCACGCAGGTAACCTTGTGAATAATTATTATTCTCAATTTAAATATAGCGTTATAAAATGACCATTCTGAAAGTAGTATTGAATAAGTTAGTTGCTAATGATCTTGTGTTAAATACTCGTGTGCATGTGTTTCTGTAGCCATTCTTGTTTGCCAACAAGCCAATGAATGAAACCAAGCTGACCATTTATGCAACTCAACCTTAAAATCGAACATTTAAGGCCCGTTTAGTTTGAAGGAATGTTTTTGAGGGATTTGGGATTTTTTAGTGTGTTTGGTTTGTAGGATCTGGAATGGAACTGGATTTCATTTTTTATAAAAAATCAAATAATAAAAATAATTAACTTACCTTTTTATTAACCGATTATTACAAAACAAGTGTATTTAACATATTTTAAAACATTATTAAAAACAAGTCCTAAGAAATCTTGTGAAATAACAACCACCCTCGTGGGATTTCTAAATCCATGTTTGTGGGATTTCAGTGAAATCCCGAGGTTTCAAATCCAAGCATTCATTCAAATCAAAGATAGAATTGTAATGGAATTCAGTTCCAAATCCCTGTAAATCCTATCAAATTTCGAAAACCAAATGGAGAGTCCTTTTGAATATCGTTTTCTTCTAGTGTTTCTTGCTTAATACCATTTATAATCCTTAAGACATAACGGAATGAGGGTTTGTTCCTCTCTCTCAATCTCTGCATTATCACACCTTGTACTGTTTGCCGCTCTGTCTCCTACTGTTTCATTGCAATAGCCGATATCTTGCGATTGTATTTTTTTCATTTTATAATTAGAAACAAGAATAGAATTTAAAGGAACTCCAAAATTGGAAAAAGAATATTTTCTGAATGACCCTTTTTTGGTTTGTAGATGAATATAAAGTGTCGTAAGAATGACTGTTTAGTGGTGGCTTACTTCCATACAAGGTGGCTTATCAGAAATACAACACTCTTTAGATTACAAAATTCTGTAAACAAAAGACTTAATGATTGCCATTTGTCAAGCAAGGGGTAGGTTCAAATGGAAATCGTAAATATTTTCAGAACTTGAGAATCAACTATTCATGTATTATTCATGATGAATGTCGGGATAGATGTTCATGATGAAAATTATTCATAATGAAAATACATGGTATTCATGATGAATAATATTCTTGGATATTTTGGGTCATTCACCATGAATAATACATGAAATAATTGGTTCTCAGGTTCTAAAAATATTCATGGTTCTCATTTGAACTTTTCCCTTCCAAACAAAGTCTAAGGGCCTGTTTGTTAGCAGCTTAATGAGCTTAATAGGACTAGCAACCTATTCGGTCAGCTATGAATGACTGTTTGGTGGTGGCTTAATGATATAGAAGGTGGCTTATCCAGGGGGAGCTTTATGTAGAAAGCCAAGTTTTTTATAAACATGTTCCTCCCAATTAAAAAACCATGCTCCGTCCATTTTATGAAAAAAAACCCTCCCAAACAAAAACTTCCCACCCTATACATACAACTTTATCCATACATAACTTAATAGAAAACCAACCAAACAGCCCCTAAATGTGGTATAAAATGTGTTTTACTACAGATTACAAATATCATATGCATCTTAGACATAACAACACTATTTGCTATTCTTGTCAACCCTAAGAAATCACTTTTAGTCTTTTAGATTTGTGTTTTGTTTCTTTGAACAACCCAAAGTGATTGTATGCTCAACTCTAGTCTTTATGTATATAAAGCCACAATTTATCGATTTCCATCGTCTTAAACTAGCAACATCCGCTTTGTAGGGCCCACCAACTCAACCTGGGAAAGAAGACATCGAGTTGGCAGCAAAAGTCTCTCGAAAGTCTCCAATGCCACAGTTTTCTTCAAGCTGCCGAACCTTCCAAGAACAACTTGCGTTTTCTTGCAAAGCTTGTCAGTTGACCTTCGCTACTGTTTTTCACCTTAGCGGTCACTTTGTAGGTCAACAACACAAAGTCAACGTATCTCTAATGAAGAAGAGGAAAGAGGCCATAAGTAACCCGATATGGTGTGAATTATGTAGATCTTCATGCTCAAGTTTAAGCGAAATGGAGCGTCATCTTAATGGGTCAAGGCATAATTCATTGGTCTCGGAGTTTAAGAATGGAGATTTAGCCACAAATTGTAAAGGGAAAAAACAATAAACCAGAAACCCATTGGTCATGAAACCGTTCTTGGTTCAGCCATCGTTCAAGATTCACCACAAATAGGTTAGTTGTAGATGTCTTAATGATTCTAGCATTTACATTAGGTCTTTGAGATCTTAGTGCAAAGAGCTTATTCAATAAGATAGATTATTAAGTCAAATCATTCTCTATTCATAGTTTGATCTAATGCAACATATTCTTATTATTTTCGATTATTTAGCCGGATGACCTTCTCAGAAACTCAATTTAAGAATCTAATCCTCAAGTGGTATTTCTAAGTTTTCACAAGAGCGTACTGTTTTGAACCAGGAGCATATCAGGTGACGGTCATTGAGCTAAATTTCTTTTTAGAAGGTCGTGCTCTTGATTGAAAACTCATTTAAGATCATTCATTCAAAGAACCCTATTTTCCTCTTTGCTGCGAATTTGATATGAAAAGAAAATTATTATCGGGTCAAATTTATTCACAAAGTCAAACACGGATTGTACAAGTATATCACAAATCCACCCGTAACGTTACTTCTTAATTGCAAGAATATTTAACTTTATTTCTTGGTGTCGGTCTGGCGTTTTCTTGGTTGTTTAAGTATATTACTACATTGTTGCTATTATGATGTCGGGATATTTAGGTATATAACCTTAAATGAGGTTTTAGTTAAATCCATGACTTTTCTCATAAGTATAAAGCCATTTTTTCTTTAATGAGTCAGGATGTCATGAATTTAATTAAAAACTCATTTAAGGTCATATTCCTAAATGACCCATCCAGACCAACCCAACTCGCCTTAGTTGGGTTGGGTTGGGTTATGTTTTAAATGTTATTTTTAACTGTTTGAGATTTTTAAAACCACACTAGTTGTTTTGGATTGTTCAAACGTCTTTAAAGCAACCAACCCAACCCACGTGCAAACCCTAAATTGGAGTGAGGGCATGTGTTTGTTAGTAGCTTAACGAGCTTAATAAGACTCAACTTATTCGGTCAGTTATATATGGTTGTTTGGTAGTGGCTTAATAATCTCAAAAGGAGCTTATTCAATAAGCTTCTAGTGGACTTTATGCAGAAAGCCAAGTTTTTTTTAACCTGTCTCTCCCAATTAAAAAACACGCTCCTTTCATCCATGAAAAAACACTTCTAAACAAAAATCTTTTCATTCTATACAGATAAATTAATCCATACAAACATTTTTATTCATACAGGATTTAATGGAAAACCAACCAAACAGCCCGATTCTATAACTCTAAATTTCATATAGGTGTCGGTTCTTCAAAGTCAAAGACGTGTAGAGCAAAAGCGAAAGGTCCAACCCTACAATGCACAAAGCTCTCGGACTCTAATGTCTTCCACAAGGTTTGTTTGCATGGTGTGTCGAATGGCGTTTGCGACTGTATTCCATCTGAAGATGCACGGTGAAACTTTCGTTCATAGAAACAAAGTTTATCTGTCAAGAAAAGGAGGCGAAAACGTAAGTAACCCGTTCGTATGCGAGCTTTGTGATGTTTCGTGTTCGACTGGCAGAGATATGGAGTTTCATGTTGCTGGGCTAAAGCATGCTGCGTGTTTTCAAAAATTTGTGGATGCAAAAAGGGCAAGAATTCATGGGAATTTGGCTTCAAATCAGTAAGCTTACAACCATGTTTTTGAAATGTTAGGGGCCGTTTACCAACACAGATTGGATAAACACTGACCGTTAAGAGGTTTGGTCAGGGTAAGTGCTGATTGAAAATGGTTGTTTACGACGTGTTTTTGTAGCAAGTGTTTACCGATAAAATACTCTTATCATCTTGCGTTGACCTGGTAGGGGAAATAATAGGGAAATTGACCAAAATAGTTGATCTTCCCAACCAACTTCACTTTTTAGCCATTTTTTAATTGAATTCCCGTTTTACCCAAAGTTTATGTAGAAATTTGAATCTTTATGCAGAAAATTGAAAAAATTTCCGCTTAAAGATTCAAATTTTTGTGTAAGGATTCAAATTTTGTACTTTTTTTTCCTTTATTTTTTTTAAGAAGTCAAATTTCTGCATAAAGATTCAAATTTCTGCGTAAACTTTGGCTATTTTTAGAAGAGGTTCTGAAAAGTGGCTAAAAAGTGAATTTGGTTGATGGAATTGGCTATTTTGGTCAATTTTCCAAAATAATAGTGTTGATTGGGTAGGTGCTCTGTCCGCACATCAGTCAGTCATATCAGTCTTTAGCTAATGTTGACCGAGTCAGTTGTGCTGCTTGAATTAGCACCGCTCAGTAGTAGGTAAACATGTTGTAAGAATGCAGTCTGGGTAAGAGGTTCAGCCAGGGTAAACATCGATTGAAAATGGTTGTTTTCTTTACCATATAATAACCACTTCCTGATAAAAATACTTGTATCATCTTGTGCCGACCTGGTAAGTTAAATAATAATATTGACCGGGTAAGTACTTGGTCCACATCATAAGTCGAAGCAGTCTGTAGGCAACTAGCTGATATTGATCGAGTCAACCGTTTTTAAAAATATCCGTGAAACCCGATGAATAACAGAAGTACTACCCAATCTACAAAAGGTACAACTACATCAACAAACTCTCTCATTCTACGCCGGCCTTCTTTTTCAACATTGCGATGAACTCGTCCTTCTCTTGTGGCGACATCCCTTCGGCCGAGCAATCACCAACGCCCCACTCTGCTCCTCGTATGCAATACTTGTCTTGAATCGCTTGTCGGTTCCTATAATCTCACACAAATTAATCACAAACTTACCGAGAACGATTTAAAAGTAAGCAACAACATAAAATCAGAAGTAGGCACAAAAAAACATAGCCCACAACATCAAATCGGTTCTACCAGACGCCGTATTATGTCTAATTGTTCTTAAATGCTAGGACCAAACAGTTGTGTATCATATATAAATGTTATAATAAACTGATAAGAAGTTTTTGGACGTCCTAACAAAAAAAAAATTAACATGACACTTCATTTCAAATGTCATAAAATACCCAAAAGCTGTGATAACATTCCATTGTAACACCTTTATACAACACAATTATTTATTCGTATAAAACATGAAGATATCTTTGAAACCAAAAAGACTTTTGGCCTAGTGGTATGTGAGTCATTGGTCTCCTAAGAGGTCAAAGGTTCAAACATCATCATCGGTGTGTGAGTTTATTTGTTCTATTTACCGTATATAAATATTATATACTTAAAATTTTTTTTAACTCTATACGAATATATATATATATATATATATATAATTATATAAAAAGGACATGTGAAATGACGATATTAACCTCGGCCTTACTTTTCTTTGTTCAACTTGGATTTCTCAAGCAACTCCTTAAGCAGGGGAGACTCTTTGAATCTTGCATCATTTTCTGCGTACCTTTTTTGGTTTTCTTCTGCAAAAACACAAGAATTCTAGTTGAGTCACGGAATCCGATTCCCGAATATGGTTTGGGTATGTGAGTCGGGATTTACCGTTGAAGCGAGTGAAGGAGTCGATCTTAGGTAGTTCCGGACCAGGGATCGATTCTAATCCAGAAAATCCCGAAAGTATTCCGGCGTCGGCTATAATTAACCATGATCACCAAAACAATTAGTTTTTTGAAGGCTTATGCCGTCCCAAAATAGATGTCCATAATAATAATAAAAAATTACATAATCATAAAAATATGTAATTATACAATTAAGAACTTGAAAAACCACCCATTTTATGTAGTATTCATGATAAAAAAAAACATTGAATAATAACGATTATTATTCTTCATGATATCTAACATGACATTGATTATGAAGACTACATAAAATAGACGGTTCACACTTCTCAAAGTATTAATGGTTTCTAAATGAGCTTTCCCCTATTGCAATTTTTAATAAACTAAATGACAGTTTTATCCTTTATAACAGATATTGTAATGAATTTATCCTTTTCATAATCAAAAGGTAGAACCAGAAAATATACACTTCAAAATGAAAACTTCTTTTAGGATAAAATATGGATATTTAGCACCACATTCATCATGAATACTACATAAAATAGGTGGTTCGTAAGTTTCGAAATACTTAAGGTTTCTAAACAAGTTTGCCCATGTTACACTTCTAAAAACTATACCACAATTTTATCCTTAATAACACAGATAGTAATGAATTTATCGTCTCATAATCTAAAGGGTAGAATTGGAAAACAGACACTTGGAAATTTTAACTTATTTTGGGACAAAATGTAAATATTTATTCTGGGATCGATCAAAAAGTTGTGTGATAACTAGAGTTGTAATTACCGGGGTACGAGGAGAGAAGAACAGTCATTGAAGCAGCTAATGGAAGAACAGACTTTTCAAACCAGTTTCTTTTCAATGGTTGTGATGAATTTGAAATATGGTTAAAAGGGTGTCGGGAGATGGTGGTGACGGTGGTGGTGGTGGTGGCGGCAGTAGTGGCGGTGGTGGTTGGTGGGGTTGAGAAGCAAGTGTGCCATGGAGGTCCAAATGAAGAAGAAACCATGGCTGTTGCTTAATGTTTGTTAAGAAAGAATGGAGTAACGGATATATACATTAGTGGTGGATCTTGAAAGACAGATAAAGAGGCAGTGGAAAACCATTGGTTGTTATTCATTTCTGACGTGGCTAACTTTCATTGGTCACTTCAACTTGGGTAAGTTGGGACAAATTACATGAAAAAGTAGCGTATTTTAACTTGATTCCTATTTTGGGTAACATACTTTTAAAACTTTCGTTTTGATACCCAAAATGTAAAGTTTTAAACATTTAAGTACTCGGGTAACCGATTGAAGACTAATTTTAGATTAAAAAAAATCCATGTCACTAACCACGTCAACAAATAATATTGAGTTGGATATTACATTACTCGTCACATCAGCATGATAACTGGTTAATGATTCAATCGATTACCTGATTACTTAAATGTTTAAAACTTTACATCTTAGATACCAAAATGAAGTTTTGAAAGTACGTTACCAAAAATATGAATCAAGTTAAAGTACGTTACTTTTTCATGCAATTTACCCTTTTAATGATAGCAAAATTTTACTGTGTGTCGGTGAAAAAGCACAAAATTGAGAAAAATAGCTAATTCATTAAAGTCGATCCACTTTTAGTTATCTCAGGAACCACTTCTCCTCTTATTTATTTATTTATTTTTTATTAACTTGGATATCCAATTCGCTATGCGAGTCGATTAATTCCAGGGCGACCACCTGCTTTGCAGATAGTCTGAAGTCATTGCATTTGAACCTCCGTGACCACAAGGGGATTTTTATTTCTCCTTGGATTTGAACTTGAGACCTTCTGGTACATTTGACCTTTGAAGCCAAGCTCAAACTAATCAGGCACCACCCTTGTGGTTTTCTGCTCTTATTTAGAAACCCCTTTATGCGTAAACTTTCCACTTTCTGCATAAAGATTCAAATTTTTGCTCTTTTTCCTTTATTTTTTTTTATCAAGTAATCAAATTTCTGCGTAAACTTTAGCTATTTTGGGAAGAGGCTCTGAAAAACGGTTAAAAAGTGAATTTGGTTGATGGAATTGACTATTAGGGTCAATTTCCCGAAAATGGCTCATGTAAAACCCGAATACGTTGTGAGCATGTTAAAAAAAAGCTCTCAATTGAGCATGGAAAAGACTGATAATCTTATTCGGTGAGAGACATAGCAAGTACCGATAGTTTTACTTCGTAAGTGAGATAAAAGACTTCTACCCTATAATTGCTTACCGGGTTTAAGAAGCTTACCAAAAATCCATTTTTTGGTCAAGAATGTCACATGATAATGTAAGGGTTTGTTCGTTAGCAGCTTAATGAGACTCGATGCTTATCCGGTCAACTATACATGACTTTTTGGTATTGTCTTAATGATATAGAAAGTGACTTATTCAATATGCTTCTAAATGAGAGTTTTATGCAGAAAGCCAAATATATTCAAATCTGTCTCTTCCAATTAAAGAATGCGTTTCTTCCATCTATGAAAAACCATCTCAAATAAAAACATTCACAATCTATATAGACAGATTAATACACACACACATAACTTTATCCATACAAGACTTAATAAAAGACAGACAAACAACTTTTAAATGAAGATAACACGTCTTGTCGATATACATTTACCCCGTAAATATTTGGTTTCTGTAACGAAGGACATATAAGTTTTATGTGTTATATGTATATATATATATATATACCCGTCGGTCAATATAGATCTGCGAGGATCAGCGAGGGATTCTGAATTTTTGTCATTTCCCTCGCTGATCCCTCACTGATTTGCGAGGGATCAGCGAGGGATTTTGTAGAAGAAATTTCCCTCGCAGATCAGCGAGGGAATAGCGAGGGAAAGTTTTTTTTGGTATTTCCCTCGCTGATCCCTCGCTGATCAGCGAGGGATCAGCGAGGGAAATCCCAAAAAACTAAATCCCTCGCTATTCCCTCACTGATCTGCGACGGAAAACTTCCCTCGCAGATCAGAGAGGGATTTAGTTTTTTGGGATTTCCCTCGCTGATCCCTCGCTGATCTGCGAGGGATATTTTCTCTCGCTGATGTTCGTCGCTGATACCTGTTTTTCTAGTAGTGAGATGAAGGAATCCATCAAGAGGAGTTTAGTATTTATCAAACATAAATTCATCACAAACCTCTTCACCTCCCATGTAACTGGAATTTACCCTTGGACATATACCTTCCCTCTGGTACAACCTTTATATGCCAAGCCCCACCCCATTTGTGCATTATAGAGTTGTACATTTATGAAACAGGGTGCTCCAAAGGGGTGACCTGAGAACACAAATGAATGGTAAACATGCATTGAAGAGTTGTACCATACAACATATCAATGCACTTATTCCACCATATGTGTTCTTAGTATCACTCCTGTGGGGATATGCCCTTGTTGGGGTTAATTTGTATCAACCATGGAAATGAGACTTATTTATGCTGGTTGTGAAGCTACTTCCAAAATGTCACATATGTCCTCATCACTACACATAATGTTGTCATCTTTTCTATTATTTCAAAATTAATATAAAAATAATATATATAATTATATATATTATCACATGTGATAAGGATGTTATTGCGTTCTTGTAAAATGTAAGTGTTTTCATTTGAACCTCCACCTATATATATATATATATATATATATATATATATATACTGTATTAACTTTAGATATTTAACAAAAAGAAAAGTTCTAGAAAACCGAAGAATTTTTTCATTCTGGATGATTAAATCTGTTAAAAAAATTAAACAAATAAACCATTGAATTTTCTCATTTTTAATGGTTAAATGCTTGAACATTTCTATTTAACAAATAAAATATCTAACTTTTAAAAATTGGTTACCTATATCATTTTAACCCAAAAAAACTATCTGTAACCGGTTAGAAATGTTATCAAAAAGTACATCATTCAAACCCTTCGTACTCAATGCCACACCCCCCCCCCTCCCCAATCGTCATTCCATCGTCGACCGTTCTCCATCACCGCCATCGTCGTGTGCTCCATCACTGCATTATCGTAATTGGCTTCTGTTATCGATCTCCCTCTTTTTGATATATTTCTTTTTTTATTCTCCTTTTTTTATCTGTCTACACGTACTCCATTAAATTGTTGGAAAAGAAAGGCAAAAAAAAAACATATCTAAAAGAGGGAGATCGATGTTAAGTTTTTTTTTTAACTTTAAAACATTTCTAACTAATGACAGATGATGTTTGGTAATTGGTTGGACCTTCCAAATGGTGGGCTGTGATGGGCTTTTTGCATGTAGTATGGGCCTTCCACACTATTAGTATTATCCAAACAAAAAAACTAAATATTTTAGAGGTTATCCAAAATGCGGGCCCACATAATTAGTTATTGGTCATAAAGTGACCGACACATGATCGTTAACAACTATTACTTTAATACCCTTAGTCGTGTGTCCCTCACCACCACTCACTGTCTCTTTAACCAAAGGGCAAAATCGTAAACAGATCGTCTATTTATCCTCTCAGATAGTCCAACAATCACCAAAAGATCCGTTATCCGTTTCTAAATATTCCGGCGTCCATTCTCACCGGAAAATGGATTCGTTTATGAGCAGCATCAAAAGCGCCGCCGCCGGCACCACGACGGAGGGAGACCCAAAGAAGGCCAACCCAGACCAGCCATCGGCGTCGGAGCTCCTGTCAAGTGCCAAGTTGGTGGCGGAGGCAGCCAAGTGTGCTACAAGCAATCAAACGGAAAAGATCGACAAACCCAAGGTGGCCGGCGCCGCCGCGGACATCATTGACGCCACCGAGAAGTACGGAAATTTTGATGAGACGAAAGGGGTGGGACAGTATCTAAAGAAAGCAGAAGATTATCTTAACGATTATGAGAAGTCCGGTGCTACACCACCACCACCACCGGCCAAGGAGGAGGCGCCACCGGCCAAGGAGGAGAAGAAGGTTGAAAAAGAAGAATCTGGAAGTGGGTTTGGAGCGGCGGATGCTTTGAAGGCTGCCGGAAGTTTCTTCAAGTAGAAGTTTTTAGGTTCTATAATTATGTAAATCAAGCGATAATTGTGTGATCATAATCGCATTGTGACTTGTACTTCGCGTTTTAAATGTTGTACTTTGTTTATGTATAAATAATTAGGTTGGGTGATTTGCCGCTCTAATCCTATCGTTTTAGGTAGAGTATCCCTACATTTTAACGGTTTGATGATTTATTGGCTTCGTTTATAAGTGTTTGGGATTGCTTATTTGAAACAACTTATACTTTTTTATAAAAACATTTATCAACTCATTATAAGTCAGAAGAATTTAACTTATTTAAAAACTCCTTATTACCGGTTTGGTACCGGTATAAGTTGTTTATCCAAACACTTAAAAATGCTTATTATTGGTATCACACCGAAATAAGTCGATAAATTATTACATAATTATATGATAAACATGCAACTTTTGTATTCAGCAACAAGTTTCATCATCTTTGTTGCAAATAAGTAAATAACACCAAAACAACGATGCTGTATAGATTACTTAAATTGTGTTTGCATCAGACATTTTATATCTGTAATTGGTTAAATTTAGGGCAAAATGAATCAGATTGTAATAAAGTTTGTCTTAATTCTTATTTAATGTAAGAAAGATTTTTTTCACGATCAATATAATAAAGTTTCATAATTCCTATTCTTATTATGTATTTAGACAAGTAACATGCTGATCTTGCAACATTTGATAACATGGATAATATCGAGTTCACTGCCAAATTTGTTGTAATCTTTTTGTTAACAAGTATCCATGTCATCAGATATTACAAAATGGTCAAAATAAGTAAAAAAAAGAATAATAAAATGAACCTCTGTTGTATGCATTGAGAAATAATATTTATTTCGTTACAATAAATAGAAACTAAACCAATCTTTATTGCATTTTGATATATTTTTCCTTTAAATTTACAAAACACCAAAGAATGCATTGTTAAAACGTTAGGTAATCAATATACAACTTACCATATATTATTTTTTAAAAACTCTTAAAATTATTTTTTATGCATTAAGTAATGTTTATTGATACATATTACTTAAAAATTCAAGATTACAAGTAAATTGTGTGCATAAGTACAACTTACTAACGCTTCATGTTTGAATTTATGTAACCAATTGCGGATAAACATAATCAAATAGAGGATAAACATCTCATTTTAAATTTAAAAAATTCAAAATATAATTAGGATAATTATTAAGTTATAACAAAATACTTATTTATTATGTTCATAAAAATTATATTATTAAACAAAAAAAAAATGAATTAAAGAAATATAAAAAAAAGAAACTTTAAATAGTTAGTCTGGTATTAATATTTGTTTTCAAAATTTTATGATATCTTCATATTCATATTTTATTCAAAAATAAAAATATTATCATTTTCTGAAAATCACATAACACCGTATTATAACATTGATTGAGACAAAAATAAATAAAACAAAACATTAAAATTGTTATGTATCTCAACCACAAGAGTGATGTCTGATTGGTTTGAGTTTGACTCCAAATGTCAAAAGTACCAGGAGGTCCCATGTTCAAATCGAATGAGGAATAAAAATCCCCTTGTGGCCACGGAGGTTCAAATGCGGTGACTCCGGGGTTTCTGTAAAGCAGGTGGTCGCCCTAGAATTAGTCGGCTCGCATAACGAGTTGGATATCTAGGTTAATAAAAAAATGTAATGTATTTCGCTGTTTTGTGCAAGTACCGTTCTAGCCTAATTTTTGGGAAATCTGACCATTAGTTAAGTCATTTTTTGTTAGGTCATAAATTGGTTACATATATAAGCTATTTGCCACAAATATAAACGTCACGGAACGTAGTTTTCAATGCCACAAACATGTACGTTCTTGGGATTTTACCCGTTGATATAATCATTCTTGCCTTCTCTTAACTCGAATTTCTTGGTTTTTTCGGTTTTCCCTATTTGTAAATACTGCTCCTTTGGAGATCTTATCGACCGTCTCCATATTTCTCTTGAAAATCTTGCAATGCTCGAGAGCTTGTTTCCGCTCCAGTTCATTCTGTAAGTTTCAACAGTTATTTTTTAAGAATAACAGTTAAAATAACAGGTTTTTCTGTCTTATAAGATTAACAAAAACGAAAATCAGACCTCTTTTTATTCTCCCATTTGAATACTTTTACTTTCAACTTCACAAATTTAATCGAAATCAAAAACAAGTTCTTAAAATTTAACTCAAATGATTTTGGATTATCTACGAAGTGGACTTGACTTATTCATTAAGTGGAAATGGAGCCCACGTTATCAAATATGTTGAATTGTACTTTTCAACGATGGCAAATATTATATATTAAAAAAGTGATTAAAAATAAAGGAAATTGCTACAAATAGTCATTTTCATATTAATTATTTTTATATCAATTATTTTTTAATTCTTATTAAATATATTTAGTT